CAGTTCCCAAAACATTTCACGTGGAAAAGGGGGGTAACATGAAAATATCATAATGGATTACCAATGATATTGATAACGTGCTTGTAAAGAGCTATATGGAAGTAAAGTACTTGTGGTGGGCAAAGTCGACTAACTCGAAAGACTTGAATCGTAACTCGAATAAATAAAAAAAACTTAAACTTGGCCGTAATTTTTTAATGTTTATCAGCAACTGTACATGTCTTTCAAGTAGAAACGTTTGTTGATTACATTTTTTTGTGTACTTTCTAAACTGACACGCCCACAACAAGCAATTAGTCGAATAATTTAAATAACATTTAAGCGAACGGCGTTCATTTCATTCAGGTAATCGCATTCTATTACGAGCCTTAAGTGGTAAATATGCTGAATTCTCCATAGGGCGAATCTTGAGCCATTCCAGTAATAAGATTCAGTAAAAATAAATTATCTAATTTTGACAAAATAAGGCTGCGAATAGAAATTTGGATTTTATTTATTGTATAAAGATATTTTCTAGGGAAAAATAACAAGCATATTTAGATTTCCCCTCGAACAAAACAAATATGAAGCGGACAGCTTAGCTTCGTTTACATCTTCTGATAATTTTGATTTATAGAAGTCCCTCTATCATAAATTTAATGATTATCATCAATGTCATCACAAATTTGAAATGTAAAAGTTAAACAACAAAGGATGAGTTTACCTTGGACTAACGAGGAAATGCTTATCACTTTCATCTGCAACGAGAATCGAACGAGTCGTGAAGAGCACTTAAATAAAGATTGTAGTAAAGATTGTTGCAAATCGAGTTCGTATCGCGTCAGCCAAGGCTGGCTTTTAGTAAATTTATACCATTACACGCAATATCGATAATTGAAAGCTGTGCTCTCACAGGTTAAGTGCGGACATTCTTCCCACAAAAAAATTTCTTTTTATAAATAATTTGCGTTTAAAATTGATTCATTTGATTATATCTCTAGACACACCCGGACACTGCATAACGGGAAAGCCACAAATCTGCTATTCTCTAAGACATGAGAAAATATATGCACATTTTTAGTTAACGCAATACCCAGTGTAATGGAGTTGTGTCAATTGTGCCGGATCGTTAATAATGAAAATTTAAAAAATTTACGAAGAAAACTGTTGTAGAGTTAGTTCTTTACGATAATTCATTTTTCACAAATTAGTTTCGGTAATGAAAGGAATCCATTTAGATATAAGCTCTCGTTAGATTTCAAGATCATGAAAAATGGAAAATAAAAATATTTATTATCTGTTTATCACCATACGGAGTAGAAATATTCTTCATTTACTCACTAAGACATTCATAATGAATATCCTTTATTTATCCTTTAACTCATTTGACATATTATTCATAGCTTTAAACGGCTTTAGAAAATATGAAATGAAATGAGTTCGCATAATTTCAAAGAGTATTACACCCCCAACCAATCTTGATGCCACCTAAACAAGATTCACCGCAAAATTAAAATAAATACCTTCTTATATATAATTTATCGATTTCTTGTAGATTTTAAACTATAAAATGATAATAACACAATAGATTACCATAGTAAAAAATACACTGAAGAAATAAATTTCTTTCAAAAAGTTACAAACAAAAAGTCAGCCATGACACAGAGACGATAAGTTTTTGTACTCCCTTGCATTTGTGGCAACGTGATATGGGTTCAAAAGTCGTTGATTTACAATCGCGTACGGAATCTGACAGGGACACTAATGGCGCTTTTCTGCACACATTTTGCAAGTTTCTATTTTTTAATTAAAATTCAACAAGTTTTAAGGAAAAGAGTTGAAGATATTTGGTTTAAAACGTCGCCCATCTTTAGTCGCCCTAACAGCAAACAATTTCTGTGCCGAAGCAAAGATTTGTCCGTACACACACATTTTCACATTTCTCCAAAAGTTTCATCAGGTGAATCGAAGGACTGCTCAGACCAGCAATAAGTCATCGGTTGAAAGAAGCGCTAATCAATAGGAACAATGTCTAATAAATGCAGTTTTTGTGTTTTGATCTTGAACGTTATCATGCTACGCCCGCTGAAATATTACTCCTGTTTTTCGGCTTTCCACCGCGGTTGTAAGCAGCTTTCGTTTAGTTGGCGCCACTCTTGATACACTTCATTCAAATGATAGCTGAGATTTTACAAATAAACACATTCCCCAACTCTGGTGCTGGTACGTGCTGGTGTCTTCGTGTTCAATCCAACCTACATGCTAACTAAGCTCTGTCATAAAAAAAACTTGAAATTTCTGCACATAACCTCAGAACCCTTGGCCCTAACTATAGTGGGTGCTCAGCCGGTAAAGGCATAACACTTATCGATTGCACACACGCCCATTAGATTCCGGCCATCATCGTGTTATTTCTTTCTTTCCCTGTCCGATCGTGACACTGCCCAATTGGTCATTCTTTTCACATTATCTCTTCAAGGTCGACATTTTTACAACTCGGCATGAATTTATCAAGGTCATATTCACAAATTGGCAACAGAAAACAGTGCTAACGATATTGTTACGTAAACACAGAGTGATTAAATTATATGTATGAAATTTTCAAGTTTATTTGCAAAGGTAAATAAGTAGGTGAACGTGTTCCATTCCAAGACAACTCTAAACGATTAGTATCGTTTTGAGACGTCCAATAAGTTCGCTCATTGAACCATCTTATGATTAACTATTTGCATAATAAAAATTAAGGTAGCAACAAAAATTGACTTTAATATTTATTGTTAGGACTGCCGGTGACCACAAAGTAACCTAAAATCACTAAAACGAAAAGTACAAGGTAGCTTTTATTCACTGGCGATCGGATATGAAAATTTATGAGAAAAAATTTAGTTTAGCAAAAAAAAAAAAATCAATGTTTAATCAATATATTCTTTAAATTTGGACGGTAATCACAAAGCTGAAAATAAGCTTTCGCTCTTGTATTCAGCTGTTTGGTTAAAAAAAAAAATAAAATAGGTTTCATACATGCATGTGCCCTACCGGTCCTCTGCGGGTACTTATCATTTCTCATCATATAAATGGTCCTGTGTAAGGAGCGTTATTTATCGAATGAAAAACTTAAGCCATCCACAGACACCCGAATACTCTTTAAAAGATTTTCTAAAATCTCTACAAATATGAAATTAAAGATATTAGACAAGAATCCTTTGTTACATACATAATTTGTAAATGCCAAATTGTTAAGTTTAATATATCAATTCTACTCTCCGAACTTTTCAACTAGCTAAGGGATGTCTACTAAAGGCAGCTTTCTCATATTTGTCAAAATTTCAACAATGGATTTGTTTAAATGTAAAATTGAGGAAAAAAACAAAAACAACAAAAATGAATATATATCACTGTATAGGTATTAGGAAGCGAGGATTGTGTGTGTACAGGATGGCTCTCCAGTGTTATTATAATTATTATTACTATTATTATTATTATTATTATTATTGTTATAGTAAAGCTTTTTTTTAGATAATAAAATTGGTGCTTTAGCAGTGATTCGGGTGCAAATAGATCTTTACCTACGTGTGTTTGTGTAAGTGTATAGAGTTAAATATAAAATTCAAACATAAAAGCAATATTATCGCAAATGTTGTTTTTGTTTCCTTTTTTTTTTTTTTTTTTTTTTTTTTTTGTTCTGTACCCATCACCATCATCATCGAAACAATACTAATTTCGTCATTTAGTTTGTAAAGTTTGGAAATAATTATATGGGAAGTATTATGAATTCTGGAACTCTCTCAATATCTCAATAAATATTGTCTCCATTCTATTCTATTGTCTCCAAGCAGTTTCTGGACATTAATAAAAGCCCCATCAGTAATCGATGATAAGAAACTATACCAGCAGTTCCAGTAAACTAAGTAACATTTTTTTCTCATATATTTTAAATGCTAGTCTTCGAAATGCTACAAAAAAAAAACAGCAGAAATAAATATGTATGAAAATTTAAATGAATTCTGTGTAGCGTGATAATTTTCTCGCTTGAGGTAGTGGGTACGCATTCATTCACCTAAAAGCGAATGGACTTTCTTACTGATTTAATCAAGTACTTTGAATTACAGTAGTAGTAGTAGTAGTAGTAGTAGTAGCAGTAGTAGTAGTAGGAGTAGTAAAAAAGTAGTTAAGCGTCACTGTAGCTCGCGTTATGAGAAACAACCTTATGCGTGTTTCTTTCAAGTATATAAAACTTATAAAAAGGATAAATAGCTTAGGAGAGAGGAGAAGAGGAATATTCCCATAAAATATGATTGCAGATCATATAAATTCGTGTTTAATATTTGACTAATACTGTTTTTGTGTTTTTGTTCTTGTTTTTATTTTTGTTTTTGTTTAATTACTATTTGAATTGACAACATTTACGTTGAATTTTTAAGAAAGTCTTTGTTTTGCATTTCATTTTTTTTTTTTTATTTCTGTTGTTTTTTTGTTTAATTTAAATTTCAAAAAATATTTGTATTTATTCAGCATTTAATATTTTCAATGTTCCATAAAATTCTTTATATAGGTGTTTTTCGTTAATTGTTTAGAGTTTATGTTTCAAAAAATGGGTGGTATATTTGTTGTTGGGTTTGTTATTTTAGTTCTTGTTGTTCTTGTTTTTTTTTTTTTTTTTGTTTCTTTTGTTTTGTTGTTGTTGTTGTTGTTATAGTTGTTGTTGCTGCTGTTGTTATTAAGCATTTTGAAAAAAGTTTCGTCAAAAATAGATTCCCTAAAAGTTGCTTCTTTTAATTGGTTATTTTATGTAAGTTAATAAGTAAATACATATAAGTATTTTTTAGTAGTATTTCCTCTTTGTTTTGTTTTCTGTTTCTTTTGATTTTTTTTTCTTTTTTTAAGTTTCTAAAAATCTGGTTTTAATAATTTAGGTTAATATATAATGTAGTAATGAAAAGAAACATGGAAATGAAAATAAAAATTCTTTCTAATCTTATGTCACTTTTTCTCACTCTCTTTTTTTCTCTCTTTTTTTTTTTTTTTTTTCTTCTTCCTTTCTTTTCTTTTCATTTCTCTTCTTCGGTTTTCTTTTCTCTTCTCGTCTTACCCTTCACGCCAAATGCACAATGCTTTCATTAATATTGTGTTGTCGTCTTGATCTTCTTATATTCTTATGCTCAATTAAAGTTTAATACTTGATTACTTAACATACCTAACTGTTAGTTAATCACACATACCTTCGTGCATTTATTTTGATTGTATTTATAGGTCACAAGAATTCTTTTCATTTTTCATTTCCCCGACAATTTACCTCCCTTCCAATACAATTGTTATTACTGATGCTCTAGTCATTCTCCTCCCGTTTTCTATTTTTTTTTTTGTAATTTACTGAATACTTCGTGCCTTTTGTTTGCGCACAAAATCCTGAGCCAGTTTATCGTTAACACGCAATTCCAATATCTGTAGAATGGGATTATCTGTAAATTATATTTAAAAGGCAATGAAAATCCTTAATTATATTCGGTTGTTATTATTGCTGTCATTGTTGGTATTAGAAATGGATTTTCAATTTCGATTAAGAAAATAAAGAAAAATGTTTATACTCAGCATAAGCGGTATTACTAATACTTATTATTCGTTTTACCGGGCTGTTAGAGGACAGTCATTGATACATCAACACAAGTCCCATTTAAAATTGGGGGGAAAAAAAATAATAATAATTCTTTTTGCATCATTTTCTTTTATATCTTTTGAGCTTTTATGTCTTCATGACATTCAGTAAATGCAGGTGTAAACAAAAGCAGCGATAAAGAGCTCGCTTTAAGCAAAATCGCAATGAGAATTGAAATTTTTGAAATTTTCAAATATTCCAAGAGATTGTTATTGTTTTTTGCAAAAATTAATCAGAAATGTTAAGAGTTATCCCTAAGAGAACTTACTTTTATCGCGTTGCTGCATTAAAGGTAATTCGATTTGTTTCAAGCCATGGAAATTTTCAACACTGCTACTGTAATCAGCAACGCCAGGTATAGTCCCCAATGCAAGAAAGGCCTCACCGCCGAAATCGTTGGCCGTTAACACATCATGATCCATAACGGTGAAACAAATCATAGCGCCTTCAGTTTGGCATTGTTCCAAAGTAACAGAAAACTCAAAACATTCATCAAAAACAGGATTTAAGGTTCTCTATATATTAAAAAAAAAAAAAAAAAAAAAAAAAAAAAAAAAAAAAATAGACAAATTGGAAAATTGCATCAAATTGGAAAATGTGGAATTTGATCATTTGATCAGAACATGAAAGCTAAATTTTTTTGTTTTCAAACTCACCTTATGGACATTGGTTTGCTGCTCTAAGCAGTGAGCAAATACACGTCGTGGGAAAAGTTCGATTATAACGAATGGATCACTGAAACCGTTAGGATCTAATGGGACAATATCGCGAGCGTGCAAAACTTCGACACAAAGCGAATCGTGATTAAAATATGCTCTGACCACAACAGCACCGTATGGACCTGGTAAATTGGCCATTATTTGTTCCCTTAAACGATTCATATAAAACATGTCGATCAAACGCAAAGTCTCAGTTTTATGAAACTGTAAGCGTTGTTCAATGCGCCAAAAATCATCTGAATGCAAACAGTCCATAGATAAACCTTGACTTTCGGCATGAAAGAAATCCACTAATAATTGTAAAGCTTCATAGAGACGTTTATGGAAATTTGATGGCTTCTCGGATTCATCACCAGTCTCCATTTGACGCGACATTTCGCTTAAAACGGTTTTCCATATAAAACGTAAAGCACGATTAAAATTCTTAGGCAATAATGCGCTATTTAAAGCGCCCAAGTGAGAGTCTAGATATTCCAAGAGTGGGACTATAGCCTGGTTGGCGGGCAATGAATCGGGAGACCAAGCTAAATGAAAAACGGCCTTTTGTAAAGATGTTTGCATAAGCGGAGCCAATTTCGAGAGTATACGCTCGCAACGGTTCTCCATATGAGCTAAACTAGTTTCCAACAAGTTATCAGCGATCTCTTCTAAAGGATTCTCATCCGAACGAAATCCTGCCAAAGAACAGCGTACATATTCTAGATTATTGACTGTAACACACATATCGTCCGAGCAACGAAAGGGACCTTGTTGCTCATAGTAACCACTATCAGCCAAAGCTGTATGTATCAAATCACAATAATGCATGGCCGTTGCGCATACAACATCAACTAGTTGCGATTCTAACATAATACCAGTCTCTTCGTCCGGCCACATCATATTCTTCCAAAACTCTCTAATATTCACTAATACCGAGGCTGTATCCACCGACGATGAACTATAGCGCACAACCCGATCACCCTCACAAATTGCATCTAAACGTATCGCCGCGCGGATACGCTGCAAGGCTTTGGCTTTACTAACCATCATCCAACGTTCAAACGTAGGTATAAACCATAGATGATATTGAGCCAACGCCAAAGGTTTTTCAGGTGGTTGAGGTTGAGCCGAAAGAAACCGTTTCAATTGAGAGAATTCCTGAAGAGCCAAAAACAAATCGAATGGTTTAACATCAATGGAATCGCTCTCGCCTTCCAGCACTGTGTAATGAGCCAAATTTAATCGCACACCCGGCACTTGTCCCAATTCCATACGACTATACACTTCGTCACCGATCATAGCATCGAATTGCTTATAAATTATCGTAAAATATTGAATGCCGTTCGTGCTGGAATTGATATTAAAATTAAATAATAATATCGCTATAAGGAAACTCGGTAAAATTATCTTTCACAAAAACCTTGAAAACACTATCACACACAGTTTGACATACGTCACCGTTAAACTGTTCCTCATTAGCTAAAAACGTCTTTAGAAAAAAAAAAAGCATTCTCGAATTTTGTTATGCTCAACTCATTCCTCATAGCACATATACAACGTCAACATTCACCACCCTCCCCCACTCAACCATCAAATTTTCAACTAATTCAACTTGCTACGTTGCCCTTCCTTCTCTCTCTCTCTCTCTCTCTCTCTCTCTCTCTTTCTCTCTTTCTCTCGCTTTCTCATCTATCATCCTTATCGTGCTCTATAAAGTATGGAACCTGTGTTTTTTCCTTGACACCCCAAAATATTACATGTGCTTAGTCTTTGTCATGAAATTCCAACACTTTGCTATTCTTTGTCATAGAACGACGGGAATGCCTTCTCACAAAATAAATCGATATGGGTTGTTAAATATTTGTGGAGCATTTTGATGGAATTTTGTAAAACCGATTGGCAAATAATGCTATAAACGCATATCCGTAATGCTTAAATGCAAAAGAATATATTTGTTTTATTTTCGTTTTCGTTTAGGCCATCACCGTCCAATCTTATGGCATTACTGAATAGCACTGAAAGAAGAAGAAAACATTGTTAGATGCGTATTGTGTATTATACGAACTCATGAGCAATACGGGCAAAAAAAACGTATACAAATAATTTGGTTCCTAAGCAATGCACGTCTCAGAGTTTAAAAGCAAAAAGAAAAAAAAGAAGCAGCCGCAGAGCACTCGTGAAGTATTATATTAACTGAAGTATTCTAGTTTTAGTCGCAATAATAAATAAAAAAAATTTCAAAAATTTCAATTGCCTTCTTGTACCCCACACCGCTTATGTTATAGGGCACATTACGGTAGACGGGATGTCAGACAGACATGCTTAGATATGCATCAATCGATCGATGTAATAACAAATCCCTCTGGGTTTTGTGTACATCCGCACAAATGTAATACAGACTTGTGCCACAAGTGTGGTGAAAATTTGACATTAAATTTAACTGATTATCAATTGACGTCTTGAGCACTTTATAATATGGAAGCTTTCATCAAAAGCATACCTTTAAATGAACATAAAACAAAAAAATAATTTTTAGTTTATTATCACGAAAATGAAATAAATGTATCAGGTGTAATAGTATAGGGCATCGAATGGTCGATTTTGTCCAACTATAATATTCTTACTTGCTTTTACACAATATTGGATTTGCAATGATTTTCTCACACAAACCTGAATAACGCACACTTCTTTGTATCGATCGATTGTAATGCAAAATCCGCTTTACTTTACATTAAAGACTACACATGCAAGTATTATGACTACAGTTACCATATTAATCGCGTTGCGTAATGCACATATCTACGCAAAGATTTCATGCATTTTGAACGACACGTTAAAATAGTGTAACAGAGGATAAGTGGAAATTTTCCCTTTTAATGTATCATTTAAATTGTATTACACATTACACGTTACAGAGACAATATAATAGGGGGACAACTTAATGACAAGACGGCCCAACAATTTCTACAAAAGTCGAACTGGGAGATTCCGTTATCAAATTTGATTGCTTGCTCTCTCGTTCTAATTGTTTGTATGAGAAAAGATTCTGTTAATAGTTTCTTCCTCGTCGCATTGTTTCGAATGTTTGCGTACCATCCTAACCAGATTAAGTTCATGAAACGTTTAAACCGTTTTTATTGCATCCTATATCTTACACTTTACGTATTGCGGAACGATAGAGAAAAGCAATAGAAAATCTATAATTCGGTTAGCGAGTTCATAATCAACACCAAAAATGCTTTCCTAAACATTTAAGCGCTCTCAGCCTCATATCTTGATGAAGCTACAAAAAGCTACTTAGAAGTACTTTCCAAAAATATCTGTTAACAGATTGGGGAAGTTAAAAATGAGAAAGCACTCATGGTATACAAGTAGTCGCTTCCGAAAAGAGAGCGAAATTTTCAAATGAACCATATTTTTAATATATTCCAGAAGATTCAAAGGGAGAAAGATATTAAGCCAATAAAGAAAATATGTTCACTAATATGAAACCTTAAATAGATTCAGAAATGATTCTGAAGTCGATCAGCATAATAAAAACAGGATTTCTATACCATACATATAAACCTACAAGAAATATTCTATACCAGAATAAAAACGCATACTCACACTTACACTCGTAATCCGTATTTTATTATCATTCAAATATCCTGACATGTCTCTTAACTCCTTTTTAATAGCTCTTGCTCAAGAGCCTAATATTCTATAAAGCGAGAGAGAACTACACAAAATAAAAAATCGAAGCAACAACAAGAGCTCGGCAATAACGCTACAAACGCCACCGGTGCAGTCATGGAGGTCGTAGGTTATATGGCTGCACTTCTACAGTCACAACTCATATGATATGACATTAATGCAACGCAGTAAACTAATTAATTTGGAAAAGAAAAAAAAACACAAATAGAAAAGAGAATTTTCTCAAGATTTGCACGACGTCAATTATGGCAATGATGTCATAAAATAAACTAAAGTCTTTCATTTGGCTGTATATTAAAATTATCGCAATATAAAAAATCTACCCAATAACAGATGAAATGGTACTTACTTGTCAAATAAAGAATGATAATAGGATTGTCCCACTTGTATATCCGCCGTTAGGATAGTAACAAAATGTGCCAATGGATTTGGTAAAGTTTGACCATCGCGCAATATATTCTGGCCCCAAGTTATCGAGCCTTTTCGCAGAGCATTGACCACTTCACCGCGAACACCCTTATTGAAGGGGCAGACAACGCGAAAAGCGCGCATTGAGCCCAACAATCCGAGGCATCTTAAAAGAAACTCAAGGCGTATTAGAGAGGGAGGATGTAAAGCGGGGAAAATATCACGATGACGACGTATTTGATTAAGCGAACGTTCCACAAAACCATTCATAGCCTCCGCCAGCCATTGCTCCAGTTCACGTGTCAGTTGTTCCGGACAGGAAGAATTCCACTGTTTTTCCACCTCCGTTAATAGGCGATGCATAAATTTCGGATCCAATGGTGTATTACGATTTAATTTGGCAGCTGCTACAAATCTTAAAAGAATAAAACAATAAAGAAAGGCTTTCTTTAATAACAGTTTAAACATCTCTGCTCAAACAGTAGAAAATCAAACTGATAGATTAAATCAAAAAAAAAAAAAAAAAAAAAAAAAAAAAAAGGAAAAAAAGAAAAAAAGAATTCCCAGTGGCCGAAACAATATTTCAGAAATGTTATAAAACACAAATGCTCTTTACAGCCCCTAACTTTTCAAATGAAAAACAAGAATTTTATTAAACATAATTTTAAATATTGTCTCTTTCGCATCGTTAATATCGTTCGTAGTCGCTTTCTTTAATATGTAAGTTGTTAGACTTACCTTGCTATCACACAATGTAGTTCGAGCAAGTCTGCCTGTACAGCCATTTGATGGAGTATCGTCAAGGCTGGACCTGGCAGCTCTCCGTTCCACGTCCATGAGGGTTCATGTGTGGCTATTTCATGCTGCATAAACACCGTATGTAATTGTTCAATTTTATTCACCTCCGCACTGTTATCCCTTTCACCGATACCATCACCTAAATCACTAGTTTGCCCGTCACGTGTTGATAACCATAATTTAAGTCGTATACGTCCTTGCACAGTGCTACGGTGACTACGTGCTTCCAATTTAAACCAACATTCCAGACCGGTTGATGGTATATCCGCAATCGGTATATTAACGCTACCGAGAAAATCATCTTGTGACCCCTGACGGGCTGACTGACACACTTGTTTAAAAAACCGCCCCAAACCGCGTACACCTCGCACCTCATTCAAACGTGATACCGCATCCAAGACACAACTCTCGTCATCATGATCCCAAATGTCCAAATGAAAAGTGTCCGTGTTTATTTCATCAATGTCGCTTAAGTTTTAAGGCAGCATTTTATGTGGCACAAAAAAAGTCAAGAGTTAAAAAGCAAAAGAATATATATATATATATATCACTATCGCATGTGCTTCGATTATATATTTCAAATAAGACCGCGTAAATTTTGAAAAACACGCATAATTTCTTAATCAATTTATAAGTACAAGTGCGAAAAGGGCAGAGGACCAGCACAGCATATAAGATTAAATAACGAGCAAACTTTTGCACTCTTGTCGCTACCGTGATTGATAATAATAGACTTGACATTTAGTTTAAAAAAGGAGAAAGGGAAAAAAAGTTTAAAAGTACGTGATCTGGTTGGTGTTGATTACAATTTTTTACATACTTCCTGCACTGTATACTGTGTAAAAAAATGAAAAAAACCATCACACAGAGATACGAATAAATTGAACGAAAATTTAAAATAAGCAAAATTAAAGAAAGAAAAAACGAATTAATAATCTTTACTGAATCTCTGGGGGCATGATCGGAGAGCTATAAATAAAAAAAGTTTAGAAATGCTCGAGAACACTTTTAAGCAATAGTGAAATAAAGTTAAGCCGTTTCTGCCACCAAGTGTGTAACGTAAAGCTTCAAAATGTTCATGAAATGCAATAACAAAAATCTGCTGTATATAGAACCTATCCTTATCCTTTCAAGAAACAAAAGATATCGATCATTTGATATTGCTGATCATATGGACTTGTAACAATAATAATATTTATAGCATTTGGTTGCATTGTTATCGAGCATCGAAACATACGTTTGGTACACAAAACACTTAAAATCGTAACTAATATGGGTTCAATGTCCATAAATGATGGCAGCATGTGGTCCAATAGAGTCCCAATGCACGCTTATATGAGCGACATAAACATCTAGGTAATGAGCACGACTTAAGGCCAATGACAAGTAGATGAATAACCGAGTGAAATGTCACTCGCAAGATATGTAAGGAAGTAAGTCAGTGAAATATCCTCGCTTGTTGACGGCCAACCACCAATCCAATCACTTGAGGGGGAAACAAAATACTCTGTGCTTAGTGGGACCAAAAATATATTGTGATCTAACCATCATACGATCCAACGATCGCTGTAGAAACGTACCAGGAATAACTAACTGGTGAAGATGAGATAAGTATTAGAGCAAAAATGACAAAAGGATTTGTAGATTGCATTATTATTTAATTATTCGTATTAATATGGCTTTTTAATCACTAACTACTTACTAAAACTTGTTATAAATGAATACTTGCCTATGTAAGGCAACTTCTACTTTCTTATTCGATCTGCGACCAATGATGCCATGATAACATTTGTGTCTTTCAAGGTCTGCTAAGAAATTGTAATATTTTTATTTTGGTTCAAAAAAAAAATACTTAAACCAACCGAACAGTTGGCGGACTCACTAATGTAAAAGCAATTATAAAATCAATTGGTTTTCATTAAGTTAATTCAACCGCCTTTCAATTTTCTTCTCTTTTCATTTTGTGACTTAAAACTCTATAAGCAACAAGCATTGCTTGTGCACCAAAGTAGTATCGCTTGTGATTAACATCTTTTTCAATCAATAGTTTCTCTAAGCAATGCATTCATTCTTATGATCATAGACATAAAGACCTCACCAAACTAAATTTCCTTTCGGCACGAAAATCATATTTTGTTGCACCTAATGACAGGCAACAATTTAAATAATTTTCATTTTCTTGAACATGGACATGTTCTCTTCCATAAAAACAGCCATAAAAATTTTTTTGCCCGCCTATGAATAGAAGACTGACTGGCTGACTATCGTCGTAAGGTAACGCTAAAGACTGAAATTTAACATCTACCGATAGCAAAATAATAAAAAGGGGCTTGTCGCGCCTTCGAAAAAAAAAATTTAATGTAGCCATGAGGTAACATCAACAAAATACCGGTATATAGGATGTTAGAAAATGAATCTCCTGTGATCACGGCATTATCGTAAAAGTAGACAAAATCTTTATTTTTTTTCTTATAAATTGAATGTTAATCCTATACCTTTTAGAGGATGCCTACGAGCGTTTGTTTTTTAAAACACTGCGACCAAATTGTTTGAGTTAATTTGAAATGCTTGCAAGCAAAAATTTGGTAAGTCGTTAATATGACGATAAATGCAACATGAGAAAAATACGAATGAGACGTGAAAGTAAAATTGTTATCCATGTTTCTAGGTTTGCACATTAATAAGAGTTGAATAAATTTTAAGTCGTGAAATGGATAAGAGAATGAAAATTGGTTAACGTTGATCTAAATAAATTCAATATCAAATTTACATATGTATATAGAATTGACGAAAATGATCACGTTTTGGAAACCGGAAAGGCTGGGAAATCTCGCTTTGCTTTACCTTTTTTTCTTTATCTTGTTCACGTTCGCCACGAGGATGGCTTTTATGTTCCTTATGACTGTGAACTAACAGAAATGCATAGATGCTTGGAAGTAAAAAATACTTTTACTAATAGTCATATACATCTTTAATTTAACATCGAAAATTAATTTTCCTAACATTAGTTTTAAAGTAACTCATAGCTCGCGCCATATATAATAAAAATCGGAATTATATGGAAAAGAACAATCAATATTTGCAGTGTTAGTGGAATTGCAGCGCCTTCTTCTGCTGTACACCAACCAAAATTGTTCAACGATCTTCTACGGCACTCTTAGTACATGTCCTGCTCATACAAATGAAAAATTTGTTTCTTCTGAAACTTTTGAATTTTTATTAGCTTTAACTAATGTTTAGAGCCAAACACAGTCGCTTAACATTTATTTTCGTATTCGTATTTTGCATACGTGCGAGAGTTATTATTATTAATCATTCGTTCTATTTAAAGTGAAATTTTCCCAACTCATACAGAAACTCAAATATGCATCGTAAACAATTCTAATAGCGTACACTACCTGGAAATACGAGCACGTATAAATATAAAGACTCCGCCAAGAATTCCAAAGTGGAGCAACAAACGCTTATGCTTATTATCCACTAAGGTTGTCTCTTGTTACCATAATTGTTCAGCAAAGGATAAATAAAGTTGCGAAATATTTTACATAAACTCTTCTGTTTGTGATGGGAAACTTCTTTCAGCTAACATACATAATATACATCTTAACACTTGAATCTCCTAAACACGTTTGAGTATTGAGACTAAGATGTTACCGCTGCAGATATCTGAGACCGAGGAAAAAAAAATTCGTGACATCTCTCTAACAAATCGCAAGCACATTTTTGTGATTATATTTTAAATGAGTTTTCTAAAAGCAGTTTTCTTCCGCAGTTGAATAGATAAAGCGTTGGCGTTGCTTTGTCCCATTGCGCTATCACTAGGAAATTTCAGGGATTTCTGACCATAAAAAATCAAACATTGAGCACATTCATATTGTATGTAATCCGTTGGGGTGATAAACTATGCTCCGTAAGGAGCATATAAGTGCCGAAACTCTCACCACCAAGTGGTGATCCCCGGAAACGGTTCGACCGGCGAAGAAGAGTTTAAGGCGAAGACTATTATAACTCGGCGACGAGTTTTCTGATAGATGGTTTTAGGGGTTCACTGAGATATAGTTTTTATATATCTTCTCAATAGTTTTTTGTATAAAGGAAAGCCTAACCAGACTCAATGGTAGCTGGTATTGCATAAGTACTACGAATATGGTAATTACTGAGAACATGGAAATCTGGCCATGTCAGATGATACGTCCGACAACTATATATCTTGAAGAAGAGATTTGTGATACAAAGCGCAAAGTAATGCTAAAGGCTTTGTAGACAAATTTTAAGCACCACGAGGGTCAGGAGCCCGCTCACGTGGGCTGATTTGATGTACCAAGAAAGTGCACTGGAAGGTACATTATTCAATCCTTATGAGTCCTGACTGCTTGGGTTCGGCCCTTCGGGGTGTATCATGGTGGCTGTGGTTTTCACCATTCCATATCCATTGGAATAAATCCGGGGTGATGATAGGCCTCACCACATACCAGATTGGCGGTTCATATGGCCATATACGATGAACCATCTGCGCACCTCGGGGTAAGAAAGGCCCCCTTATTAGGGGATTGTCACTCCTCCCGCGGGGTGATCAGTTAACTTAATTGAGTGCCTATGCTTGTAGGCATTTCGTCTGATTAAGGCATCAAGCCAGATGCAGACGTAAAACCCTCAGAGCGATCTGTATGTAATCAGTTATCAATTTCTTCGATTTTCATATGGAACATAGATGCATTACATTTTTTTATTGTGTCTTCACGTTGTAAGCAAACATTGGATTTCCTTTAGTATCCAGCCTTATGCAACGACATCCTAAAGATATCAAAAGGTCAACTGGTTTCCAAAGTGTTGGGAAATAACTCATGAAACTGTTTTGCAATCAATATTATGCGATGTGCGATTTCTATATTCATCCTCAATCTACTTTGCAATTGAATACTCCACTCCAACTATCTATTGATATTAAGAGATTCAGCTCCAGAGCCATATAAAATGTCTTATTTGCTTTGATTTGTGTTGAATATAATAGCGAAAAGAAATACATCATTTTTACTGAAGTGAAGTTAGCCCCCCAAGATAACCCACATTTTTTTATGGTTCGGGTCTTCGCTAAAAATGTGTTTGCTGAGTTACAATTTATTGCGAAATAAATAACAATAAAGTAAAATAAGTATTAAAATTAAGTAATTTTAGCGAACGTTCACATATAAAACATACTAAATCTCTAATTACGGACGCAAAACTAAAAATGCTTAGTTATTGCTTGTAATTCTCATGCAAAACTACGTTGCATGCGTGTTATAACCATTTTTAGACTATAGATTTTTGACATGTCTTAAAGGACGCTAGAACCTATTAGAAAAACCTAACTTCATTGCCCTGTATAGTGGACATCACCTCGAAATTCGCCAAAAACCGGTCCGCTCCATCTTCACAAGACCGCAAAGGCAAAATGTTGCAATAATGTTGTTAATCAAATATTCGAACTTATATACATTATGTTTTTCTTTCATTTTCTAATGAAATGTTTGATACACATAATGTTTTTGTCTTTTTTCAGCATGCATGTTTAAGATTATGCATTACATGGATATATTTGCATTAGTAACGCGTTTGTCCATACACTTGCTTAAGAAGTTATATGTATGGTACTGAGTTGTCGTCATTTTTCTAAATATGAATCGCGTACAATTTTGTTGAAAACATTCCATAGGCTAATGAAATATATGCTATGGCAAAAATTCAGTTTATGACTTTTGGGTATGACGGCGTATATTCTAAGGTTTTGCCATATAACTTATTTTATTTAAAGACAATATGGTACCTAAAGTAATTACAACATAATTACAATGAATAAGTCATATAATTAATAAGTAGTTCTCTTAAGCCGAAGATTTTGAAAACCCGTAGAGGAAGCACATAACGATTTTGGGATTACAATTTCCAGATTTTTTCAGTTTGTTTTATAAATTCATAAATGATGAGGGATTGTAAAACTTAGAAATTATATCAATTCATTTACATAAAATTCACTTTGTTTGTGACACTCAATCGAGTATAATCAAAAGTACAATTCAATTGTTTTTGAAGTGCTTTAATATATAAACGAACAGATATCATTGTCTTACGTTGAAACAAATATCCTTACTAGTGAAAATTGTGACCGGAATTTTTAGTGGGTTGATACTACATCAAATTTGGGACTTGCATAATTTCTGCAACAGTTTTTGCAAACTTTTTTATCGATACAAATAATAGGAAAGAGAAAACAGGTAGTGAAGTGACTGCTAAGCACACGCACAAACGTACACGAACATTTTTGCCATAGCATATATTTCATTAGCCTATAGAATGTTTTCAACAAAATTGTACGCGATTCATATTTAGAAAAATGACGACAACTCAGTACCATACATATAACTTCTTAAGCAAGTGTATGGACAAACGCGTTACTAATGCAAATATATCCATGTAATGCATAATCTTAAACATGCATGCTGAAAAAAGACAAAAACATTATGTGTATCAAACATTTCATTAGAATATGAAAGAAAAACATAATGTATATAAGTTCGAATATTTGATTAACAACATTATTGCAACATTTTGCCTTTGCGGTCTTGTGAACATGGAGCGGACCGGTTTTTGGCGAATTTCGAGGTGATGTCCACTATACAGGGCAATGAAGTTAGGTTTTTCTAATAGGTTCTAGCGTCCTTTAAGACATGTCAAAAATCTATAGTCTAAAAATGGTTATAACACGATTTTAACATTGCATTCTTTCAGTATTTGCAACGTAGTTTTGCATGAGAATTACTAGCAATAACTAAGCATTTTTGGTTTTGCGTCCGTAATTAGCGATTTAGTATGTTTTATATGTGAACGTTCGCTAAAATTACTTAATTTTAATACTTATTTTACTTTATTGTTATTTATTTCGCAATTAATTGTAACTCAGCAAAGACATGTTAGCGAAGACCCGGACCATAAAATGTGGTTGCTTAGGAGTGAAGATAGCCCACATTTTTGTCTTTGCTAAAATGTGGGCTAGCTACAGTGGGCTAACTTCACTTCAGTTCATTTTTTAAGTGGACGTTGAAACGGTATTAATACTTTCATTAAAAGCACTATTTTGTGCTTGAGTTCACAAATCGTTCGTTCAATTTTAAGTACCGTGCACACATATGCTCGTAGTAGAGTAGAAAAAAGGAATTTTCCTTTACAATCACTTAAACTGATCAGCATGAATGATATACAGCTATTGTATATATTAATATATAAATATTAAGATTTAAATCGAATGAAATATAACTTGAAGTCTCCCCTTTGTCTTATAGCAAAAATATATGTAAGCGTAATAAGCATTTTTATTTAAATTTCGAAAAAATAAAACTCTGTAGCTGCCATTAAACTAAAAACAAAATCAATGGCGCTGTCAGCTTTAAATGCAAACGTTACTGTTCTCTTATATGTCGATAGTTATTATTACAATCAAGAGACACGTACGTAACATACATATATAATAGAAGAGTAAAGTAAAAAGATGATACTCTTTTACGCTTATGCACACAAACAAGCACAAATACACCAAAATATCAAAATACATCCGTGTGTGTAGTTATACGTGATTATGTATATAAATACAAACACATCACATTTATATATATATATATATATATACTTACAACTTAAATTTCTCATTCCATTTGGGATTTAATGTGTGCGGTTTAATGGAAGTGGCACAAATAAACTTTGCTGGCACCGGACCGCCTAATGAATCACGCTGTTCCCGACGGGCACCCTCTCGTCTTTTAAAACTCAAACGAAAACTGTGTTTGCGGTGAGGCGGTGAATCGGTGGCGTTATTATCGAAACCGCTCATATCAGCTGAGAGAGCACGCGGTGTCGGTGGCAGTGGTAACGGTGATACGGGTGGGCCACCATCTGGTTGTATTCCCAACATGCAATACGGATCTGAAAATCCTATTAAATAAAATGAAAATGAGAATAATAGACGAACACTCTCAAACGCAAATACAAATACAAATACAAATGAATAAATAAAGAGATTAACGTATAATAAATATAAATGAATAGTTTTACAGATAAAACTACTTAACGGATGTTCAAGAAAAAATAAACAACAAAAAGATTATAAAAATAAAACGAATTGTTTTTATCTTGCTATAGCTGAGCTGAGCAAATGAATGAACAATTTTAGCATTTTGCCTTTACTAAGAGTACACAATGCAACGCAAATCTTTGTATGGCAAAAAGAAACAAAAAACAAAATTTTTGCTTTCAAAGCTAAAAAGTCTAAAGTTAACAATGATGTCTAATTATTTATAATTTGAAAATTTTCCAAACATTTTATATATATAAAAACCGTAATACAGTGTCTCCCTATGATCTGCAACGAAGGACGTTTTTTAAGTGACATTTGCGAAGTAGGTGTAAGATTGATATCAACAATCTCCTTGCTCGAATTCGATAATCATTACTGTTAAGCTCGATTTGGCCCACAATTAACGAAAACGTTTAGTTAACCTTTGTAAGCACAACGGAAAATAATTTTCGAAAGAATAGAAAATTGTATAAAAAATAGCAAAGTACGAGAATACTGGAAGAATGAATATTCGCTTTATTTTGCGATTAAATCTTTTATATATATATATATATATATGCATATATGTATAATAAATATAAAGCACAACAACCATACATAACAGAAGCCTTTGGAGGAGAACATGTTGGAAATTTGCCAACAATAATGTCAAGATATTCCAAGAAATTTTGCTAAGAGAATTGCTACGTGTAGCCAAAGCCGAGAAATATTTTATATTTCACGTCACGTCGCAACCTTATTAGAAATTATTTAATAATAAATGTTTTATTAAAAGATTAAAATAAAACATTTCTTTTGTAGACATTAAAGCTTATATTTCAGTTAAATTTCATTTGTCGACAGACACTTACTGAGCAATCAAGGCATTGCATAATCAATAAAATTTTCAAATTTCACGTCCTGAAGCGCCAAACCACGCATTCTTTCGATTCAAAAAACACTTATCGAGGAAAATAAGCCGCACAGATTACGATTCAAGGAAATAACATGCTTATAACGATAATAGAAGGTCAGATTTTAATATTAACTTTCAGAACTTTAGCAGACATTGACATCAATGGATATAAAACTCAGTCTTTTTACTATCGCATGTGTAAAATGCTATGTAAATGACAATGATTTTTGCGAAAAAAGTGTAAAATGCTTAACAAAAGTCATAAACAATTCGTACGATAATAATGTCCTTTATAAACCTTTTTTATCGTTTTTAAAAAGCCGTTAAATTATTTCAACACCTATTTATTAACGACCATCAAACAAATTTCCCCATCAATCGTATATGCGCAACGGAACAAAGCTATAGAATTATTTATATATTACGGGGTCAGATATGCCCCACAAACTTTTTCTTCGTTATATTTGAGGCTTTGTACGTGTGTGTGTTTGTGTAAATTTTGTAAATCATATAAAAAAAAAAATCACGTGTTGAAAATATATATAAATATATATAACAGGAAAACGGAAGTTTTTAACAAAATTCTTTTTCGTGTTGGAATGAAATGATTTTATGAACCAAACTAACATAGAAGACAAGCAGTAGCATAACTAATACTCGTAAATATTACAATATTGCTTTAGTCGATTTGCTAATGCAATTGCACTCTTTGAGAATAAATTCTAAGCAAGTAAGGCTTTAAAAAGTCTTCTTACTTTCAATATAAAAGAAACCATTCCCTTCCATTACAAGGTATTGTGACAAATTTTTCTTCACTTCTTTAGAGACATTATATCGGGCAACACATGCCATTCCTTCTTTCTTCCAACTTATGAAAATCTATTATTTAACAAATAAAAATATATGGCACAGCATTGAATACCTACCGTACATCACTTTGTTTTATACTGTTACCAATATAACATCTTTGCAAAATAAGGCGTAATATGGGAAGCTATCCGATCCGAACAATTTTCAATAGCGCTTTTCCTTGAGCGCGAACACTTCGGATTTCGTCGAAACATCTCAATAATTGCGACCTATGGATTGAATACGAGAATACTTGGGCAAACGGACAGACGGACAGACGGGCGGACAGACAGACGAGGTTAGATTCTTAAATACGAAAAATTCTACAACTAGAAGAAATGCTAAACGCATTTAATGTGCTACTTTTTGAGGTTATATATATAAAGGCATATCAGTGCTAGGTTTTACATAGACTTCACCGTCCTTGGCCATATATTTTTTAATGATTTCCGCTGACTTGCTTTTAACCGATTACGTTCCATTTAAAGTTTGGCCCATCGATTCGCAAATATTTCAACTCTTTGATCATCATACTCTTCATGCATCCCTTCGCTGCAGCTATCTTTGCGATATGGTTTCAAATAATATACAATGAAACCAGCAATTTCACATCTAATATTGTATTCGTCCGCACAAAAATCCGTACACGCTTTTAACACAACTGGTGTAGGGTATAAAAAGTAAATTGCAAACGTCTTGAAAAACTTGGCGATTTATGGCCTTAAACTTTAATCAAAGTTACGTAAAGTCCGTAATACATTTTCGCTGTCCAACATATAAAAAATATATGCCCTCGATCAACACGAAATTGTATCTGGCTGAGATCATTGCCTGTAGGAACAAGGGAGGGCGAATGAAAGAAATGACGTGCTTCCTTTTCGTATCAAATGTTCGTAATCATCTAAATGTTAAATCCCAGTGAATGAAGGCGAGCTTTTTTCTTGTCACTCACTCATCTTCAATAATAAAAAATGTTGAGCTAACTTCCCCATTCATGATAAACAATACATGGTACCAACGAAATGCAGAGAAGACGAAATCAACGACTTTAGTAAGTCGACACCTATCAAAAGACAATGTTAAACATGCGAGCAATACGAGCAAAGTGTGAGTAAACTTGAAAGAAAACGAACCTGACTAAGTGTTTTGAACATTCCCAAAACCACTTGCTTAAACTCATATTTTTGCGAACGCTTACGATCGCCCGAAGATATAAGATAGAAAGCATAAAATTCATCTCAATGCTTTGCAAAATTTACTAAACACAAAAGTAAGTAAATAAAATGTAAATAAAATAAAATTGCAAATTTTCTTAGCTTTTATTGGAAATGCTTTTAAATAACACCGAGGGAATAAAGTACAAATGTACAATGGCATTGATATGAAATTTGTTGTTATCAAAGTGCTACAATGGCATTAGTCGGTATTTATACTTAAAAATACTTATACATCGACGTGAAAATATTTACCGTTCGCATCTTTCGCTTCTAGGCCCTCAGCCTCGATAACTACCACCGTTAAGACAATAACCTTAGGTTTCTCTTCGGTGGCGTGTAATAAACGATAATGACGATCCGGATTTATGCCGAATGCTCGTTGAGCATGCAAATACATTTCATCTTTGTAGTGAGTATACTATAAGTAAACATAAGTATGTAAGAAATCGTAAATAATTTAAAAATTCGAAAATTCTCTTTAAAATAATTCCCCATAACTGACTCATTTCCGGTATACGAAAAAGAGAAAAAAAAAAATTAAATAAAAAAATAATGAAAAGAAACCCATACAAAATTTATCATGAATTTGCGAAAAAAAAAGAAACCTGACAAACATAAATTGCATACGCACCTGCCCACCTGGTGCCGGTGCACCCACCGTATTAACTATGGTATTCAATACATCCACATATAGTTTCTCTTTCTCTTCCTGTATATCCAGAGATTCTTCATTGCTTGGTACAGGTATATCACGTTCATTTTCCGGATTCGCTTCGGCACGTGCTTCGGCGGCACGTGTAGCTGACATACGACGGTTTTCACGTTTCCATCCTAACGATGTGAAATTCTCAAAATAGGAACCATCTGTCTCCTGCACGCTGCATAACAAATTGCAACAAATAACAAAAATGAAACGATTCATATAAATACTAAGTGAACTTTAATGCGATATGAACTGAACAAAAAAAAAAAATATTATAAAAACGATAATAAGATATTTTTACAAATTAAAAGCAAACAAAGCCGAAAAGAGGATTTCACCCGAATGTATTATTTTTTAATTCATACCCTCAACGTTATATATTTATATATATATATAAGTACATTTGACATGTAAACATATCTTGAAACTTGATATTTATAAAAATTTAATACAAATAGAAGTAAAATATTCGATTGATTAAAAAAAAGTGTAACAAGACCCCTATCTGATATGTTTTTATATAGGAAACGATTTTCTTCTTCTTCACGTTTACAAAATCATAGAAAAACAAGGCATACAACGATTACTTCGAAGATATCTTTCACTTTTATATCACTCGTGCGATATGAATCCAATTTTCCGAATAAGTGTTTTGTTTAGAGATCTTCTAAAATATGTATTTAAATGTACAAGCAAGTTTTAAAGGGTTCAAAATAGCAAGCGCTATCACTAAGCAATGCACTAAACAATATAGTCTTTTTTTTTTTTTTTTTGAAAATCGAATACGTCAAGTTTCGTGCGAACGCAAACGTATTTGTCAGTAGACTCATATATCTAGCTTTCGTATAAAGAAAAAGCAACTGAAAATAATCGATTTATGTGGAAAGCTTTTGAAGACTGATTTACGCCGCCCAAAGTCAATCTCGTCGAAAAAACTAAGTGCCAAAGAAATTAAAATACAACGGCTTTTTGCGATAACCCAACCCATAAGTAATCGTGGGATAAGGCTGACCACATATTAACATGCATTTATTTGATGAAATCAGCCGAGCCTGGCATATAATATAGGTTATTAAAACTAAAAGGAACTATCGGAACTATCGGAGCAGCGCTCCTTGGAAATACTTAAAACAGATATCTGATGCCAGTCCACAATATTCCCCAGACATTGCTGCGTCTAACTACCAATTGTTTTAATCAATTACTAATGATCTCTATTAGCAACACTCTCAACACGATGAGGAACAATGGACCGCCTCTACGATTGATTTTTAAGACCGCATGGTCATTCCAAGTCGAACTCATCTACAGCGACAAAGACAAGAAAAAGCGTAACCAGATCAATAATACTGTAAGTAATTTTACGTAATTATATAATTTTTTACGATTCTTGTATATTAAAAATCCAACATCCATAAATATTCTATTTAGGATGTGCTTCAATCCGGAATCCATTCGGTATGAGGAATTCACGTGTGTCCTTTCTATTGTAGTCACGATAACAATCTTAAAATTCTATTTAGAAAAGTGAAATCAGTCGCAAGCTCGTTTTTATCTTTGAAGCATCAGTTAAATTAGTCCTTTGACAGATGTTCAAGAAGATCTGCAAATTTTCTGCGTCTCGTTAATTATATTTGCAAGAAATGTTTGCGAGCTGCGGATTTGATTTCTCTTAAATTAAAATTCCTTTCGAATTCGAACGAGAGATATTCCCCATATGTTGCAATCAAATATCGAACAGTCAGTGCCGAATGTTTATACATCCAAAGGGAAACATCTGATACTCATCCAAACAATTGTAAAATATTTTATTAAGATGGGCGTGTCATTTAATTGATCGATACGATTTTCACATTGCTTTTCTCGTTGACTCGAAATATTTTTACAGAATTTTACCTCCGTAAATTAGAATACTTCGCCTATTAACGGCACATTTCTAGAAACTTCATATCAGAGGTTTAAATGAGTTTCGTAAACGTCCGTGCCAAGCTTCCTGCTGATGTTTGCTATGAAGCGTAAGTTATGTTGTTTGGTTTATTGTGGGCGGAGTTTGTGAGTTTATTACACCTTCAAACTGAATTTAATAAGTTAAGAAATGTTATAATTTCTAAAACGACCGGCCTAATTGAATCGACTCAAAAGACTACGCTTAGTAAATATATATACACTTAATGTGATGTCTAATGCTGGCGCTGACGCTGATGATAATGATGTCTCGTTGTTGCGTTATAGCACAAGCCGACATATAAACATTTGCAAATGACTATAAATTCTGAAAACTTTCTACAAATGTTACTCCTTTAATGATTTTATTAATTTTTACTTGGGAAAATGTAATAAAATAACAAGTAAAAACACTATAATGGGACACGGAGCACTTTTAAACACCCTACACTAGTTCGCTTAGCAAAATTATTCATTTGACGTCAATGAGCAAAATAAGGCTTTATATGTGATGCGGTGAGAAACGGTGGTGTCATCCGAACCATTTTCAATAGCGTTCGTCCTTGGGCCAGACCATATCGATGTAACAAATTTCATTAAAATTGAACGGACAGACAAGCAAACAAGCGAGTGCTTCTGAATCGATCGGTATAATAAAAGTTCGGTCTATCGCAAATCCTTCGAGGCATTGCATACATCCGCACAACACAAACTTAACATACCCTTTCACCGCAAGTAGTGTAAGGTATAAAAAAAAAAGAGTAAAAAAAAAAATTTTAAATTAAACAAAGTTTACAAGGCATTGTAACAACGTTGCCATAAAATATACTTTATTTCATAATTTCAGCCAAGCTTTTAAATTTGTTTCCCTCTATTTTCATTTTCTCTTTCGAATAAAAGCCTCAGAATATGTCATTTTTGCAAAAGTTTATTTTTCAAGACCTTTTTATAAAGTTGTAAAATTTCAATGTAACCTTCTCTCCTATATAGACAAGACAACAAGTGAACTTAATAAATTTACATTAAAAAAAGGAAAAATAACAGCAACAACAGCAAAAAAAAAATAAGTACAATGTATTACAATGTTGACACAGGACATTATTTGTTTCGGTTGCCTGGACCGTCAACCAATAAATTTCTCTAAAGTTTCTTCCCCGACAAAAAAAGGTGAAGAAAACAAAAAGCAAAATGAAATGAAAAAAACGGAAAAGAAGACAAAGTTTTTACTGGAGATCGCTGTACACGATGGCACGTATTGTATGTGTTTTAAAGTAAACACATATCACCATAAAGGATTCACGAAAGAAAGAAAGTACTTGAGTATAGGAAAAACTAATATAAATTAAAATTGTTTAAATGAGATAAGAGACGATAATGATGACGGGAGGTGTGTAATGACGCCGTTGTTAATATTATATAACGAATTGTATGTTCGTTAAATAGCAAAAGATTCTATGCGTCACATATAAAATGAAGGATACAAGCGATGAATAAATTGTAGAATGATGACGAGCAATCTGGTTACTGGACAATTTTTTAGAAAGTTTTAACTTTTCACAAAAAATAACTTTTACTTTTAAATTACTTAGCAATACTTTTAAAGAGCAGATTTTAAATGTTAGCAGAGTTTTGTCTTACTTTTAATTAATTTTTATCACTTTGAGAATGAGAATGACAATATATTTCTTAAAGCACATACAGAACATACATTGTATTCCATTTAAAGAGCAATGATTAAAAATGTATTTAGTTATTTATTTTTGTTTTTTCTTTTCTTGCTCTGCTTCATCTTATATCTGTCTGTATTTTGAAACTGAAAAGAAATTATTTAAATCTGATAAATGAAAAAAGGTAATATTGTTAATTAAAATAATTTAAGGCAATCTATCTATCACAACTTTTTTAATAAGCAAAATTTTCAATGCTTTAAATCTCACTTTCTGCCCTTGAAGTTTAGATTATTTTATTGGAAAATTTGTGGCGGCGTTTTTATAATTTCTATAGTTACTATGGTCAGCGTCAACGTCTTAGGTAAGCACTTTTAGATAAATCAACAACCGCATAGCCAAGTGAAGTCAAGTAGGAATCGCTATTACCAAGACGATGTGCGTACAGTGCGTTTTGAGTATACTTATTTGCACGTATCGTGAGTATTCAGTCGGTAAGCGAATAAACTTTTTTCAATTAAGGCACACACATACACACACACACGCGCGCGGGCGCGGTTACGGAAGAAGACGCAGAGCACGTAATGATCTATTGCTGCAGATTTGAGAACGGGCGGCCTCAAGAGCCATCTACGAACGTAATGATCGGCAGTGCAGCAGCTTGGAACATCCTAGACGCGTTCGCTAGCAATACCCTCGTAGAGTTACCAACCAGTGGAGAGACAATGGCCGGAAAGAAGAGGTAGCGGAGACCAATAAAGGATTCCACTAAAGTCCCGCCATACGATACGCAATAATTGCAAGCAGCCTCCTCGAAGTAATACGTAACGGTGGTCCCGCGGAGGAGAGTGGTAGATAAAGTGTGTGTGGGGGGGTAGGTTCAGTACGTAGGCGTCATGTATGGTGAACCGTGCATGCTACTGGCACGGGCCGGTAGTATCTATGAAAATTTCTACCTCCAGCCCGCATAGCAAAAAAAAGAAAAAAAACCTTCCACACTATGGTCACATTCTATTTCTCTTCTCCTTTTCGTCCTTGATTAATTGGTCATATTAAAAAAATAATTATCAATTTAGCTGAGATAATCTCTAGCTTCAAAATTTCATATCACTGAAACTCCTTTGATAAAACTTTATTATGAATGTTGGAGTTTTTTGTAAAAATTTTTTAAAGAAGAAAAAAAAGGGGAAATAGCTAACTTGCTTTACTTTACTAATTGAAGAAAGTTCGTTATGTTAAATATTTTCTTGCGCTTCTAGAGCTTCAATTACATGATATGTCCATTTACCATTTTCCATTTTAATTTCAATTTTAATTTTAAACTTTAAATTGTTAATGTTTGACATATTATAAATTACTATCATCTTGTCAATCAGACTGTGTTTGTGTTTCTGTCGGTGCGATTTTTATCATATTATCGTATTAATAATTAATTATGTTACTTCAATTACATAATTACTATTATTTCCTTCTTTTTTGTCATTCGATGCAGCCTATATGTACAAATTAGGCTTTTTGAATATTGTTATATAACACGGTTTCTTTTAGCAGTGAAATGTAACTTCACAAAAAAAACTTTCGATTCTCTGATAGTTCGTTCTAAGAACCGGATAGAAAAATTAAACGTTATACATAAAGGAAAAGCATGAAATATTGATTCTAATGCAGTGCAATTTTTTTTAGAAACTCACACACACTTTTAATTATGAAAATTTTTGCATCCTGCATAACTTGAGATGTAAGGATACATCAAGTTTGCGCAGACGAAGACAACACACAAAACGAATTGAGATAGAACGATCTTTTCTTGTATAGATCGAATCTAAGCTTGTCTGTCCGTCTGTCCACTTCTTTCGCTTCTGCCTGCCTTGTTTTCTTACGTTCAACCTACATGTCAAACTTTTTGTGATATTTTGATGAAATTTATTACTGCGAAATGTTTTGATTCAAGGACGAACGCTATTGAAAGTGGTTGAGATGGGATCACTTTTTCAACTACTCCCCATATAAAGACTTATTTCAAAAAATCATCATATGATTAACTACACGAACCGAAGTGGCGTAGAGCATTCAATGGTGGCAAGCGTTGTGCTATAACAGTTTTGTTTGTTTTTTCATAATAGGAAAAGGAAAAGAAGTAGAAATCTATAGGAGAATTGATAGAAGCCTAAATCGTGGGGCTGGTATGGTCATGTTTTACTGAAAAATGAAAAAAATGTGCATTGAATGTTGCAATGAACGGTTCCAATTTCATCCAAACACCTCAGCATTCCACGTTCCTAGTTAACGGTTAAAAACAAAAGCAACGGATGGAGAAGATTGCGCCATAAGATTAGGAGCTGTGTACATAAAGGAAGAGTGTGTCAGAAATTAAAGACTTTGCAAACTCACATATGGATACATCATCGTTGGCTGCTTAATATAAAAATATCAAGTTTATGTTCCAAAGCCCGGAATAATATGCAAAATTAATGTTGATTAAGTTAACCAAGGCTTCAGGCAAATCATTTAGATAAGTGTATGAGGAGATTGATGTGCTACACTTATTATTGGGTAATTCGATTAAAAAAGCATTCGAGTCACATATCCTCTGTGTTCAATATAATATAAGATACGGGGTGTATTTCACGCTATGTTCCTAAGTTGGCAGAACAAAACGAACAGAGGTCCGTCCCAAAGTTTCAAGATAATCGTAGTGATGGAAATCTCCAAAGTAGATTATTCTAATCGATTTTTTTTGATACGCCAAAGTTATGTAAATTAAATGATTTTCTACTAAGCCATAAGGCCACAATCGCAGAGTATTTCTTCAACATTTTTACGTCAATTTCGGGCAAACATACGTGATAAGAGAGAAATTACTTTTCATTAAGGAAAGGTTTTGAGCAAATTAAACAATATAGACTAAAAATAATTAAAGAGTTCTGGCCGCTATTGCTTTTTATTTTTTAATTAAAAGCATTTTGTCAACCGGAGAGATGAATTAAATAAGTATGTAATTCAGAGAAGAACTTATTAAATTTAAAAAAAGTATAATGACAGAGGAGAGTAAACGTGCTTTATTTAATTCATTATTTTAATTATTTGTAGAGACTATGAAAATTTTCAATAATTTAGTGTAGAAAATACTGAGTTCTCATATAATTCGTTCAGTTCAGTGCACAGTGATATATGAGCCCTAACATTTGCGATTTTAGCTAATCGTGCTTTACTTCTAAAATTATATAGTGTGTGTTTTTGCAAAACAAAGCCATTAATTTAGAACGTAGCGTATGAGTGTTGATTATTAAAGGAACTCCACGAGACGTATTATTATTTGGCATACAAATGTGACCTTCATTCGGCATGGTAGATACGGAAATAAAATATAAATTAAATTAAATATGATTTCTCTTTGATTCACATGCAATAGACGATTAGAGATGCTAGAGATAGGAGTTGCGCTAAATCCTTGTTAAACTTAACAGATGAGAAAATCATGTTCGACGGAATAACCGAATCTTTTATACCGTGCGAGCTTTGTAGGCGTGTCCTTTGAAAAGTTTAGGTTAGGTTGCACATTTTTCTGCATATTTGTAGACGATATTTTCGTTTTTGCCAACGAAACTAAACAGTTAGGTAGGCGGACAGATGGACAGACGTACGGATGGACATGCTTAGTTGCATTGCGAATTTGAAACTCGGCCAAGAATTTATATACTTCAACGCGTACAAAAAAAAAAACAATTTGTTGCGCTACAATATTGGTTAAGCCTTGACAATTTTTTCCATTTCTCTGCGTTCAAAGTTTTGTACATTTATCTGCTACGTTCATGAGTAATGAGCGAAAAACCGATTTTTTTATGCCTTTTGAAAAGCAGAGGGATCTTCACTTTATGTAGCGTTGTTGGCGTGCTCTTCCACCGATTTAGCCCATTTTCAATATCAATCTGTGTTCAAGAATTTCTAATATTTCTGTCGAATTTCAAGTCGATAGCTTCATTTTTGCGGCTAGGAGCAGTTTTCGCAACATACATTACACAGACGGACGGGCTGCCAGATGAACAAGAGGACAGACAGAGCTTCTGAGTCGATCGATGGGTCCATCTCAAATCCGAGCAACCTTAATATATACTTTACAAACAAAATGGCGTAACATATAAAAATCGATATTAGAATTTTTGGCCCAATTTAGCCATTTCATATTTAAGCCATCGCGTGGAATAGTCTCATGCATAGGTTTAGACTTATAATCGATCGACCCAAATATAACTGACCAGCAGAACTTCGTTAAGAGCAACATCTTAATTAATTACATAATCTAAATACTGTATTTAACACTAGACGGCCGAATGTTGGATATGGTCCTTTTTTGCTGGAAATGAGTCAATCTCAGACTCAAACATCAAAATTGAAGCCGTCTATTTTAGTTTCAAGAAACTTAATTCAATACAATTTTTACACATAATATTAGAATGCATTTTCCGCAGAAGTCGCCACAGAGGACCTTATTTCTATTCCTTGGCAATAGAACTATTTTTTAATATTTTCTGTATTAGATACAGCTTCGTAGTTGTAGCGACCGCTTAGTCCCATAACCCATTGATTGCTGTTAAACCTGAGACATTATAGAATACGTGAAGAGGCCAGCTGTGAAAGCCTTATAAAATGTTATAGTTACCGGACACACTATTTATTTGTTTCAATGTTTGCACTTCGATGCTTTGAGCTCAATAATAGAACTTTTTTATTGGTCCCCTTCGCTTTAGGAAGTAGCGTGGAAAACGTTGCGATGGTGCCTTTCATGATATTTGCAAGTTTAGGTAGCTCTTTTCTACATGCCCGGATTGTTCAAACCAAACATGTTTTTTTTTTTTTTTTTTGTTATGAAAGGCTTGGAAAATAATTGCCAGTGGTAATATTTCGTCCGCAAACTAAATATGGGTCAATGGTTTTATAGATAACAAATTCGCTCAAGGGAATATTCGATCCGCTAACCACGTTCTTACCCAAATAGGTAGAACAATTTAGAAGATACTTGCTTCTGACATCCGCAACTAGCCAGAATTTGATGTCAAATTTATCGGCATCCGTTGACTAAAGAGATACCTGGCTTTAGTTGAGAACAATTGCTTCTTGACTGTTATGTCTGCGCTTCACTTTCAGATAGAAAACGAGCTCTCTTCTCTCCTCCTTATAACTGTATCAGATGCATCAGATTTGATGTTTGATTCGTTTTCCATTATTTATTCGTGTTATGATTTAACTCTCTTAACTTGGCCGACAATTGCTTCCGTAAATATTTCACTTACAAGCAAGTTGCGGCAAATGTTGCGAGAACTATTGTTATTATTTTCATCAGTCGCCAGCTGCGTCGGCAGGTCAAGCATCATTAATTTGCATTTGGCTTTACTCTATTTAAAATTTGCCTCTATTTAGAGAATATTTAATGAGTTAATAGGTGCAGCAAATATGAATTTATGAACTAAGGATGCGAAAGAGGAAGAAATTCCTATTTGTTATACATTTCATGAATGATTCAAATTCGCTCACCGCGACAATCTAGCGTTAAATGCTTAACCTTCGATAATTCTGGGCGAATTCTAAAGCAAATGTACTTGACATTCATGATTGGTTCGAACAGAGAAAGACAATTCACGGTCTTTTCATTTTGGCGGAATTGTAAATAGAAACTCTTCATGCCCTATCTAAATTTAACCTGTCGAAGGTAAAAAAAAAAACCTTAAGTCCGCCTTCTGCTTCATATGATAGTTTGCAGTTGTAATCGTGATATTAATAGATCGAGAACGAGAAATATATGCCTATAAATGCTTAAAGGAATCTAATCATTATTTTTCTATACATTGTAAATATTTAACAAATCCAACGTGTTCTTTGTCACACTATGTTTATTATAAATTCTGCAAAACATATTAAGAAATCTATAGCGTAGTTTTGCGAGAAAGTTTTTATTAACTTACCCTGAATTTGAACGTGGATCCACTTCGGGCCATGATAGACGGCGTTTGCAGAAAGCCAATGGCGGACGAGGAGGTGGATCTGTTTGGTGTAAAGGCGAATTACGCTGGCGAAATGAACCGGTACGCGGAGGAACTAAACATTCCAGAGCACGAGATTGTCTTCGTTGACTTAATGGCGTAGAATTAGCCGATGCTGGAGCTGGCGGTAATAAAGGAGGTACAATACTTAAAACCGGTGTACCCGGTGTAGGTATTACTTTAGGATAACCTAAAAAAATAATAGAAACATTTTTTAAATTTCATTTTTTTTTTTTGATAAAAGTACTTAGCGCTGAAATCAATAAATAAAGTTAACAAAGTGCATCATAAACGAGGCAATGACGATTTCCTAGCAAGAAATGAAAGTACAAATATAATAATATGCTATAAATTTCAAAAACGCGATTATATATATACATGGATTTTGGACATTTGTATATTCACATTTGTATTAGTTGGTCAACATAGTTATCGCAATCATCATCATAATCACAATCGTCATCATCATCATCATCGTCATCATCATTATTATTATTATTATTCAACGAAACCATAAACAGAACCTAGAACGGATATCCGTTAAAACATTACGTTTATCAATGCACACATATACACAGAGTTAACTTGTCTTATAACTTACTATAAACATTTATTATATTTGCATGTTCACGTACAAAATACTATATATAAGCGTTTACTTAACTATTAGACCATTAGTAAGGCAACCACAAACACCAGCTCCAACCTAACCCAACAGAATGCGGTTGTTCATCTTAGCAATATGCCACTAATATCCTTGAAAGCAAAGCTATTATGGTACATAAAAACGTTAAAACTACGTACCGGCATCATATATATATATATATTGTAAGTGAGCATATATGCTAAATACTATCGCGAACATTTGCATATATTTGAAATGAAGAATAACCAGAAATTCCTTATGTACTTTGCTTTATATTTGAATATTCACATAATTTCACAATTCGCCTTTCATATTGGACTATGTTTCTTCTTATCCTTATCCTTTTTCTTCCACTTTTTGCTGCCCTTATTCTTATTCTAGCGTTTGTTTTGTACATAACAAATTTTGGTAAAATTTTCTTACTTTAATAACTCTGAACAGTGTCGCAGTATCCCTCCTTCCCATCCCTCTACAGCTTAAGTACATTTCCGTTTCCTAATTTGCATACATATGACCAACCGAACATCCATACATGCCATACCGTACATCGTATGCAAATCTTGTGTATGTAACTACTTTGCGGTTATGTGCGTAAAAGCAGTGATAAACTAATATATATGTACATAAGAAAAAAACTCTTCAAATTACTAGTACTTATGTCGACTTGTGTCCTTTCGTTATATCCAAGAAGATGTAAAATGTGAAAAGCTTGTAAATTTCTTCAAAATATTCAATGAATTTATACACTTAATAATTTTTCCTTACATTCTTCTCTCCAAAACGTAAATTCTTTTACATTGCATTTTATATTTAATTCGTTTTGTTTGTTTTTTTTTTTTTTTTTTTTTTCTTAAATAATATTTATATTTAATCAAAGCTTGCTTACGCACAAAACAACACTTAAGTTATAATTACTTTAGTTGTTCATTTTTTATTGCCCGTTGTTGGTTAGCTTTATATTTTTATCTCTTTGCCTTAATTAGAATAGGAATAGGTTAAGTGCCCTATATCACAATAACATGAAAATTAACACTGAATTGTCAAAACTTTTCTTCATTCTTTATTCATTTAAAATATAAAAAAAAATAAAAGTATTTGTATTGTTCGTTGTGAGTCATTTAAACAAAGAGGAAAGTTGTCGCTTGCAAGGTTTATGCACATAACTGCATTGCTTCGTAATATTTAAGACGGGAGTACTATAAAAACTAATGTAAGATTTAAATTTTTAATTGTGCTTTTTTATAAATTTTATAGTTAAAATAAATACGAACATTATATAGTCGGGCAAGGCCGATCATTTAATACCCTACACCCGATTCTTTAACACAATTTTTAATTTTACTATGGGACACATATCTGGTTCTTATGTAAAGGCAAATTTTTCAAGTGCGTACTTCTGGGGAAGTGGGGCCAAAACGCAACCCAATGTAGTACAAGTTTATTACCTTTAAATAGGGCAAAATCCAACATTAGGCGTAGGTGGTCCAAATTTTGTAGAGTTAATTTTTATATGAAAATAGTATTACGGGTCAACTTTCATCACCACATATGAAAACTTAGACTTGCTGCTCTACAGAGGATTAATTTTCGTAAAAATCCTTATTAGGGAAGGATTCAAACAGTAGGCCAAGATGGTCAAAATTTGGTACAGTTAATTTTTTATGTCAAATCACTATTATTATGAACATTAGTTTTCATTATATGAGAGCGGATTCAAAGCCACGTCCCAGCCAGTCCAAAGTTTTCATATCAATTTAGATTACAATTTTTTTTTCCATATAACGACTTCTCAGAATATGGGTAGTGGTCGAAAAGGTGGGACGATCCGAACCATTTTCAATAGCGTTCGTCCTTGCGTCCAAACTCATCACTGTACTAAATTGCATCAAAAAATCTGAAAAATTGCGATCTGTAGCTTGAACACATAATTACATGGACGGACATCAGACGAATAAAGAACTCAATAAAGAATTAAATAACAATTGTTCTTTGAATATACACGGCCTAACAATATAAACACAAACGAAAAAGATACCTTTAGTGTTACAAGAATCTTTTGGTAGTAAGCCCCAATTATCGTCTGCTTTACCAAGCCTTTTAAAGAAACACGTAAGAAAGTTTTATTCCCAATCATAAAGATTCCGACAACAGATAACATAGCGACGGACGGATGAACAAGTGCTTCCAGTGTTTTATGTGAACAGCTGAAACTTGAGATAAGGTGATGCCTTATCCTGTGGGCCCTGTCAATAGGCTAATCCCCATCATTTTGCGTATTTCACTACTTCTGAAAAAAGAGACCAATTATGTAGACTTTATTCTCTTGCCGGACGAAGACAATGCCTACCAAACGTCTCAAACATTTAGCATAGCCACAACTTCTACTAAAATTTCTTCAAGACGCATTCATAATTTATAAAACGGAACCAAAACTTCGTACGTATCATCCCCGCTCTTATTTTGTAAAGCCTTAGGTAGTAATTTAGACGACATATAACTAATTATTCAATTCTTTATATTACGTGTATTCTGGCCTAACGCTCTTCGCTATCTTTTGTCATGGACTTTGAGACTTGATTGCTAGCGGGGAAAATATAAGCACTGCCCAGATAGTACTGCTGATAGCAAAATCTATGGAGAGTAAGTAATATAATCTCCACAATAGTGTGACTATTAAAAAAAGATATTTTCTTTAAAAAAAAGAACTTTTTCCGACACATCACTTGACTTGAATCTACTGGAAGGATCCCGAAACGCTGATAGTATAATAAATCTAATATGCGAATATGGTCATCAAACTAGGGCTATATAGATTTTAGACCTTATAATGACCTTATAATGATAGAAAACTATATAGTTAAAGAACATACGGAAATTATTAAAATTTATTGTCAAATAATTGACTAATCTATCTATTCGACTTACGTTTCAGGCATTCACGAGTAAGTTCATGTTTGATTAAACTGCTTCGTAAACAAAGTACAATTGCGTACTTGGTACACAGAAACCTCATGTGCTGGCCTTGAAATGTCTTTATGTGCACAAAGATTAACAGAAATTAAAAGAAATTATAGGCGACCACGTAACCCCTACTAATGCCAATGGAAAATGACCACCAAAAGTTTGCACGTTCCACACAATTTGAAACCCAAGAGCAAAAGTGACCGAAAAGTTTACAAATATCCAAAGGTGATTGGTTATTAAATAAAATCATGAAAAAAACAAAAAAAAATTGCTTTGAGCCGATATCTAAAATAAAACTGATGAACGCTGAAATAGAGACGAGTTTTCATTAATTTCTGGTTAACAACGTTTCAAAAGCGTTTTATTCGAGAAATCTGTTTCTCGTCAATTCATTACATATTTTCAAAAAGATATTCTGCTTGCACTTAACCGATTATGATATGTTATTTATTTGAATTAGGTTTTATTGAATTTTATTTACGACTTACATCATCCACTTAAAGAAATGTTACATTTTATGGCTTTCGCAGCAATTTTATGAATTACTTACCCAATAATGGATTTGTGGCATTTGGATTTCCAATGACTACACCACCCGCTGGATAACTGCTAATGCCGCTGCCACTGGCCACTGACGGTGCTACAACACTGAAGATACTACTACTACTACTGCTACCACCGCTGCCTGTGCCGCCCAAACTTTGTATGTGTGGTGTAGGTATAGGCGTAAACGAGCTGGTCGTTGTAGTATTGACATTTTGTGGCTGCTCTGTGGACTCTTGACGTGACAAAGAGAAACGACGATTACCTAATCCGAGACTTGAAATGCTACTGGTTACATACTGTTGCATCGAACTGAGAAAGCTCATATTGACATATGTCACGACGTCCGCCGACAATTTACGCGCTATTACGACGAAATTATAACGCAATTATTGTTAATGTTGTCGATGTTATTACAGTTAATCTAGCCGGAGCTTTTGAACAATATTTTGTATTTGTATTTGTACGTTTGTGTTAGATTTTCTGTTGTTCTATTATTTTGTCCCTTTTATATATATATATATATATACATATATATATATTTATATGTACACATATATATATATATATATATATTTTTTGCTTAACAAACTCTTTATGATTTCGGTTTTATTTATTATTATGCGTGCGATTCTCTTCTTCTTTTTTTTTTTTGTGTCTCCATTCAATAGTTTCGTGTACACATGTGTAATGTATATGCTCAAAAGAACAATAACCAATTGCCTGGTCTGGTCGAATTGCTAACTGCTGGTAGTAGGTAGGGTTGATGGTGTCCTCGTTAATTTTATTGCGTTGAATGAAATTATTTGCTTAAACAAAGGAAAACTGTAAAAGGCGAACTCATCTTTGGGCCTTAGTTACCCACTCAAAAATTTTCTTTTGTTTTTCGTTTTTTTATTTTTTAATTTTTTTTTTTTTTTTTATTTAATTATTTATTTCCTTTTTTTTATTATTGTTGGGGTTTGTGTTTTATAAATTGGTCCTGGTAGAAAAGATTTTAAACAACAGCTGATTCGTGTAATGCCATTGTTTTCAGAACTCTTTCATCCTTATAATGATAGTATATATACAAACTGAATGGATTTTATATTGTAATGCCATAGGCGCGGTTGTTTCACGCTGTAAGAATAAATATAAAGACGTAACATTTTAATATATTTGTCTTGAAATTTGTAGCAAATAAATAAAAAAAATTAAAATTTTTTTTCTCTTTTTCATTATTTTCATTATTATTTTTTATCAACAACTTTTTATGCCCACAACCAGAAAGTTGAAATTATATTAAATACTCGATTTCCATTGCAACAGATTAGATATGAAAGTGCAGCTATCCAATCTTAAGCAATTTGATACCAACTTTATGGGGAATTATTTCAAAATTTGTTTTTCTTCTCTTCTCTCAATGAAAGAAATTTTCGCCTAACATCTTTAAAAGTACAATTCTTGCACGTACTACGGGCAAATACACATAAATATATACTAGCATTGTCAGTTTGATTGTAACGTACTTCCACTAGAGCTAATCAAGTTCATGTATACTTGAGTTACGTACAAGCCCTCTAAGTTAATTTAATCATCTCGCTCGGTATGTGTTTAAAATTCTCTGCTGAAATTTTCGCGATCACAAAACCCATAATAATAAGTAAGTGTGAACACAGACTGCATACATTTTAAAATAGACGTAATTCAAACATAGAGACTTAAAAAAAATCGAAAAAGAAAAACATGTAATCAACGTCAATGTCACAAGTTTGCGAAACTGAAAAGAATTTCGTATCGAAACTTGTGCGTGAAGTAATCCGAAGACTACGAAGCAAAGGGATTGCTTAATATCAAGATCAAGAAGAAGAGTTTTACACACACATGTGCTGCAGTATATAAAGCAGTATTGCGATTATTGCGGTAAATGGTAGATTCAAGATTCGTTACAGGACTTGGTGGACCTACGAACGCTGATAGCCCAAGTAATACGGATCGAAAGGTTCCCAATTTTTTTTTTTTTTTTTTTTTATGAAAACTCTTGCACTTTTATATTTGTATGCATAAGTTTGAAGAGAAAAATGTCTATTTATTGTATATACTATAAGCCCATCGATAGAGAGAAACGTCATAGGCAAAGGTGTTCACTTTTTTTTTAAATTTATGATATAAAATAAAAAATTTATTTTCCACCCACTCACACTATTCTATTATTCTATTTCACGTTCGTTTTATGATCGTATAAATATATATACAACATATATTTTTTTATTATGTATTAAATTACAAAGCAGAAGTTACCGCAACGGTAATACTTATCAAAATAGAATGTCACACACATACACTCAATTATAATATATATATAGATATATCACCCATTTATGCTTTGGTTGTTTACGATTATGTAGTTTGAGAGTACTTGAAAGAGCATTTTAAAAACATGTAAGTACACACGTACATACTATATGCGCTTTATGACAACTCGTAATTGTAAATCCCATCCTCTGCTATCATCTCCTATAGTAAATATGGATATGGATTGGTTGTATTGTATTTCTTGCACCTGAGTGACAGAATCGTACCATGGCATATTATTAATGAAAATATATATTGACTTTACTTAACTTTAACTTTATTTGTTTATTTTCATACATATCAACGAAGGATGAAGAGTACAGTCATTTTGTCACAACGTTTGCAACGCCCAAAAGGAAGCATCAAGGACCCCATAGAGTATATATGTGCTTGATTAGCATCCTAAATCAATTTAAGCATATCCGTCTGTCCGCCTGGATAATGTCTGTCATAAACAACAAAAATGAAGCGCCCAACTTCAAATGTAGTAGAAACGGTGATAGGCCTTGCACGCAGCCTGATATTGAAAATGGGCCAAATCGCACGAAGGACACGCCCACAGCAACACGTAAACGGAGAACACATCTGTTGAAATATTTGGTTTTTTGTTCATTACTCATAAACTATAGCAAATAAATGTACAAAAATTTTAACGCACATTCTATGGACGGTGCTGTACTATCTGTGCACAAAAATGGAAAAATTGACCACATCAACCCAATATTGTAATGTACCGAAATATCATTATTTTTTCAATATCTTTATAACACGCAGAAACAAGCTTCAAAAACCCCATAAAATATACAAATACTTGGCCAGTTACAACTTGATGACCTTGAATGGACCTAAACATGTCGACCTGTCTGTCTGTCTATCGATCTGTTTGCGTAACTGTACAGCATTTGTGGTAAACATTCTCCCGTTAGTAAAAATGAAGTTACCGGCTAAAAATTTTGCAAAAGAATTTGGAATTCGCCTAAACTTTTAAAAGAACACGCCTACCACGCTCACATGCGACAATACGACAAAAAATTTTATTTTGAAAACAGCGGAAATCAACTGCACGCCCTCTGTATTACAGAGCTAGAAAATTTTGTTCTTTTACTTCTTTTGTCTTTTCTTGGGGTAAACGGTGATGAATAGGCATAAAAGCATTCGGTCCCGACCGAATTTAATTTTCTTATTTTCTTTTTTTTTTTGTTTATTTCTTTCATTCCTGCGCTCACATTACACTTACTTTCGCGTTGGATCTATGAGTGAAAATGCGCCAGAAATTCATTGGCTAAGATTTAAGTTTGTAGTACGAGTTAGGAAACAGAGCTAATTAAAACATAATAAACTGTATACATATTATGTGATTAGTATTTCGAAAGACTATCTCTACTTCGATCTTTTGAAACTGTATATAAAGGACAAAAAAAAGAAGCATGCATTTGAGTTCGGCATTTTTCATACTTTTACTTTACTTGAACTACAGCGTAGTTATACCGCGCAAGTGTATACATGTGCAAATAATATATGAATAAAAATCCATAAAAATACTACAAAAAATTAATTTATTTTATAGCGAAGAATACGTGGGAAGATTATCCGTTGTTGGCTTTAAGTTTACTAAAACTCAAAGGAAATCTTAAACAAGAGCCGTTTAAACATTCGTTACTTAATGTACGTAGAAATCTTTCTAAATTGCGTGAAGGAATTGCATCATTTATGATGGCGGCAACTTTTTCCTCAGGTGAGATTGAACTTTATAATATATATTACATTATTATTTTATATACCCAGTTATTATGTCGATAAACTCATAATAAAAAATCGGTTGCAAAAATTAAGAGTATACGCTATAATGTTGTGTAAACAACAACCTAGAAAATAAGAACGAGAAGAATCTCCAACTAAAAACGCTCTTTCACAGCCCAACCAACAAATCTATTCATTGCGAACCTCTTAGGAGTTAATTCATTCCATGTCAATTTACTATATAATTTATTTTCATCAAAGTTTTTACTTTTTTTTTTGTGATTTTTTATAAATGCATGCGGGCAAAAAGGAGCGTTCTGCCAGCAGGCCACATTGAAAATGATAAAGAAGATCACATCAGCGAAAATGGTACATTAGTTTTAATCCTTGTTTGTCTTTAAATGAAGTCCTTCTATTATTTCGCATATGAATGATTTATTTTTAATTGATGCTCTTTCGACCGTTACAGATTAAAGTAAACCAATTTAATGCTTAATAAAAAAAAAAAAAAAAAAAAAAATAAAGAAAAAAAGAAATAAAACTTGTAAAATAAAGTAATTACTTTGAAAAACGGATACAACATATTTAGGACAAAAAATGTAACGGACATGGCCTCACGAGTTTATACATTCCAAAGACTGCTAAACTAATCAAACCATATATTGTAACATATTTGCAGACGCGTGTACTAAATCGTTTTTGCGGAATTTCCAATATTTTTCGAATTTGCTGGGGATCAACATGCCCCCACAATTCAGAAATACCATTTATATGACCAACGCCGACAATGCCAACAACACGCACTGGCCGTGGACTGTTCGCGTCATCGTCGATCGATTGAGGTAGTGCGGCCAATTGAAGAGAATGACATAAAAATAAATCGCGTTCTCTTATGAAAACGTTGGAGAAACCTGGGAATTCTCCGGCCATTTCTTTTGTTACTTTCTCCAATAAGTCCTGTTGCTTGCAATCTTCCAATTCGTCCATATTCGGCATGCTACCGCCCGTTAAACGCCACACCAGCTTAACTGTCTGCCAAAATGATAGAGCATGCAAGGCACGGTATAATGTAATGCGTATGGGACGATCTCCCAAATGTAAAATGCATCCTGGCAGCTTTTGAATTTCTTTTAAAGCTCTACGAAATTCACCGCCCGGAGCGGTGCCGAGATCTTTAGCGATATGAGCACTCTTTTGAAGTAATAACATGAAGAATAAGCCGCTTATCCAACCATATGTTTGGAAAATACCTCGAATCTTAACTAAATTTAAAGATGTAGCATCTTCAAGTAGACTTTTTTCATCCATATTTAATATAGGCAAACGCGAAGGACAAAGTTCTACCATGACAACATCTGGCCGAACATTGCGTATAACAAACGAGACATCATCCTGAGACTCTTCACTAAAGTGAATGGTTCCAATTAGATAAACTTTACTACCGAATGGTGTATTCAAGATCCTCACCGTTGAGGGTAAGTTTGCCTCAAATTCTTCGACAGTGTCGTAAACGGTTAATGAACGTTTAGTTTGCGGCTCAAAACTGTTATCACTGATAAGACTTAAATTAGCAACCGATGTCGGTGTTTTAGATTGTTCCGAGAAACTTTCTGCATTTGTTAATTTCAATTTTTGTATACTGGATTCAAGTGAAGATTCATCGCTTCGCCATGTCTTATTGGAGGCACTCGCCGCAGTCTTCCTTCTGGGAGATTTTTTAGTCCCAATGGCAATATCAGTTTCGTCTTTTATCGTAATTTCCCTTTGAATGGTATTATTATCAAATTCTTCTTCCGACGACGATACAGTATCGACTGCAGAATTGACAATATCCTCGTCTGTGCGTACATTTTTGCTAATTCTTAAAATTGATATTTTGGGATAATTCGTTTTCAACATCACCACCTTAGCGGTTAATTGAGGATTTGAATCAATTCTTTCCCGCGACGTAACTGTATCCGTACTTTCTGACTTACTAAATTTTACACTAACATTCATATTTTTTAAATGAAAATCGGATCCTGAATCTGTATCGTCTTGTGATATACTAGCATCGGTACTTTCCGGCTGAATTAACTTCACGTTTCGGTACATACTTCGTAAATGAACGTCGTCTGGACAACGGGTTAAAGTGATACATGGTACCGTTTCGTTGGAGAGCGATGCCTCAGCGTCTAAAGGACTTGTCAAATTCATTGCGGTAATCGATATTGAGGATGTTTTAATTGAGCAAAACTTCGCGCTGCTACTAACAGACTCTTCTAAATTCAAAGAAAGAAACTTTGTCCCATCGCTATCCATACCATTATTATTATATGAGTCTTTATTTACAACAGAACTGTTTTCATTAGTCTGCAATGAACTAAATTTGTTTGTTGCTTTTCGACTCTTCTTGCTCGCCGTTTTATTGATGTAGGTAGATGATAAAGCCATAACGGGATGAACTAGATGAAGCAATAGATTACGGTGCTGGGAGATTTGACTTTGCAAGTTTGATTTGTATTGAAATGCAAAAAAAAAATCACAAAAAAGATGGTCAAATATTATCGCTTTCAATTTGTTACTCCTCTTCCCATGTGATCGGTTTGATTGCTCACGAAACAAAATAAAAGTTTTCTAAACAAACTAATGATTTTTGATGTGTGAAAAGCAAAATAAATTATTCAATTTTTTCTAAGGTTGCTTCAATTCTTCTCCCTTTCATTCATAGATATTCTCCTCGTTCTCCAAATTTAAAACTTTAGTAAATGCCCGTACACGTGTGCAAGTGCAATATTTCGTTTTCAGTCTTTCAATATATATATATATATCTATATATATAGCAGTTCAACCTAACCAAATCTAACTATATACCCCGAAATCTGATTCTGATCAGGTATATATATATTTCTTATAAATGAATTTCTTTACTAATCAGATGCAATCTAAACACATAGACTTGCCATCCGCCGTAATAAGAATCAGGTTTAGCCTTTTCGAAATTTTTGTTTCAATTAAAAGCAATCAGCTTCTAAGTTACTAAAATTACAATCTAATCAGCCAGCAAACTCTAAAATTTTTAAACACATTCTTTATAAAAAAAAAATAAATAAATAAAAAAAAAAGTGTAAGGAGTACAAAGAAATTGATTCTATTGCTGTAAGTAATCAATTTTTGTAGTTTCACAAAGCTGTCAATATTGTTAGTAGATAGTTAAGAAATTTCTTGCGGTTTTTCACTATGAAATAAAATAATTTCCTTTTATATAAGAAATAAACTTTATTAAGTTTTATATTTTTGTTATCTTGTTCAGCAATAAGTTGATACTTTTCTCAGGCAACCTCATTATTCTCGCCTCATAAAAAGTTCTGATCTTTCGCTGTAAAAAGATTTTCTATATCTAAAATTTAAATGTTTGTCTGAACTGAAAGTTTTGCCAGAGAAAGAAGATATGCTAACACACTCCCACCAAGTTCTAATAATTTTTGGCGTGTGAAGACAGAAGCAGGAGGTCTTGCATTGTCGTGATGAAAAACAATACTCGTTCGGTTGACCTGAGCATTGATCCTGAACGTTTCAGCTGCAATCCTTCATTTAAATTGGTTGGTTGTTCGCAGTATACTTCAGCAAATAATTATTTTGTTAAGCGGCAGAAGCTCATAATAAACAATTCTCTTATAATGTCACCATACTGACAGCTTAGTCTTTTTCTTTTTGTGGATATCCGTGTTTGGTGTTGTTTGAGATGGCCAATAATGCGTTCTGTTAAGAGAATTTTCTTTCAAATCACTTAGAATCCAAATATCCTGCTTTTTTAGAAATGCCGGTGATTTTATGCGATCACTAACAGTTCTTTCGGATGCATTAGGTTTTTTTGCAATTTCACGAATGTGTCGATCAGCTACAATCATCTCCACATCGTCATTAATGGTATATGGCCTACCAAAACGCTGTGAAACTTTCATTGCAAAATTTGCGGAAAGAAATTTCGGAAACCTATTTAGTCAAATGCTCTCTGCTACAACATTAATTCCTCACACACTACATATTTCTCTTTGTGCTGCTGCAGTTCTTTTACCTTTTTTGAAATAGAAAAATAAAATATCTCTTATATGTGCACTTTGATCTTCCATTTTATTACATTACGCCTGACTACTACAACACAACCGAGCATTTTGAAAGTTTTTTTTGGAAAATTAAACTAACTATATGTACGTTTAACTCTAATTATCAAAAAAAATCATTTTATTACGACGCCAATTCGTAGTATTGTTTCGCTACTAAATTCTTTAGACGACTGCTAATTTATATTAAGTACAATTAAAATTGTTTTACGCTTTCCTTATGAATAAAAAGAATTTACTTAAAATTTTGTGTTTTCAACTATTCTTTGCGCGCAAATTCGATAAGATTAAAATAAAAAAGCGGAAAGAGGAGAGAATAATTTCAGAAATGTTCGTATCGTTATTAGATCCAATAAGTCCTACAAGAAGTATGAGGTAACTTCGAGTTCGTAACAATAGCAGATCTCGTCAATTCTAAATATATTGATCACTGTTTGACAATTTTTCATTTTTCGAAATTGCCTTAAAACGTCCAAGCGATTAATTTTATACTCAAGCGAAGTGATTTGCATAAAAGGAAGTTTTACAAATGTAATTTAACCGTATTTGTAACAAGCGTGTCAACGTTAGTATCAAGGTATAGCTTGTCAACAATTATCATTATTTATTAACGATTTTTAGCTTTAAACAATTTTCACAGGTTAGTATTGATAACAAACAAAATCGATCCCGCCCTCACAGCTCATTTTTATCAGTTTTTTTTTTTTTTTTTTTTTTTGTTCTCATTACTACTCACCACATCCAATGCTAAAAATTTCCAAATGCATGGAAAAATCAAGAAAACACCCTCCCTGTTACAAAGTTTCTTTTCTTTTCAATTTTTTTTTTTTTCTTTGAATTTTTTCAATTTGTCTTTGTTTACAAGAACTTCATGGTTCGTTCATAGGCAACGCTGCTTTAAGATTAATTAAGTCTCGGGACACATTTTTTCGGTTTTAAAATACATATATATACGCCATAATAAATATCGAGATTAAAAATTCTCAGACTTTTCAGAGGCAATCATTATATAGTCACGATTCACGTGAAATCATTTTAAAGAAATTCATAGGCAGGAAATTGCTAAGGAAAACCTTCGGGAATTTGAAAAACTTTTCGATACTTAATACCTGTTATTTACTTAATGGCGTCTTACTTAAACATTGTGACATTAGTGGAAGGATTTTTGATTTTTACTATGAATAAATAAACCTACATATTTGTTAGCAACAATATAATGGTTAACAATTTCCTTTGTTATGTTAGACACATACGTACATGAAGCCGACCTGTCATGTCACTAAAAATATTACTTCTGACACATGCATGAATCAGGTGAAATGAATGTGAGGGGCAAAAATATACAGCAACAGCAAGAGAAAAATTCATTTTGTTAACAATATGCGTCAAATTGTGGTCAGAGTTGATTGTTGCTATTGTTTACGTACAAATCCTTAGAAACAAGACGTACAGGTTTAGAAACTCCTTAACGTGTTTGCGTACGTATATGCATACCCTGCATGGCTGCATGCATACATGCACATAAACAGAGTCAATACGCATACACTTACACATATACATAAAGTTACAAATGATGTGGTTGATATTTGGTCGGTTGCTGGGTTGCTTGGTTGGTTGATTGTGCGCTTCATGTGTGCGATATATACATGTTGAATAAGCGGGTAAATGCGTGGGTAAGTGGGTTGTGTTGTGTTTTGTTTTTCTGCAGTTAGAATTTATGATTTTGCATTCGATACGTTGAACGTCGTTTTATAAATAAAAACACATCTATGGTATAAAAGGTTGTTTCAAGGGCACCCATCACGCACACACCCTGCTTTTGAGAGAATAACCCACAAAAAAAAAAAAAAGGAGGAAAAAAATTCAGCAACAGTTGAATACATTAGAAAGAATTTTTTTTTTTTTTTTTTTGCACTTTTTTTCACTGCGTAGTCAATGCAACCATTACTTTCTTGACTTGTTGTCTGCAACGAATAGATAAATGAAATAACGCAATTTTGCTTTGTTGAAGTGAAATAAAACGGGAAAAGTAATCATTTTTTAAAAAAAAAACTGAAATTTACTATTGCAACAGATTCAAGGAGAAATTTTCCAATTTTCTTAAACGTTAAAACGATTTACAACCCTTTTAAAAATATAACAGATTGAAATCAAAGCTTGCGCCACCCAACCATATAGAAGACAAAATGTTAAAATAATATCGAATCGCTTCACTGTACAATCATTTTATTACATATAAAGTTGAAACGTACAAATCCATCAGGTAAGCCGTAACACAATTCACTTGAAAAATGTTCTTTCTCTTTTTTTTTTCAATATAAGTAAACGCATCATAAGAAAATAAATACGCATTGTTCCGAAATAAAATAACACGTACAAGACGCTTTCAAGACGCTTTATAGACAATTTCGAAGAAATAATCACGGCTAATCAATAATAAAATTCGACATGCATTTAATATTCGAAAACATTTACATTATTCCGACTATTAAGCAATTTTTTAGCGCATATTAACTTTTTATATTAGCTGTTTAGGCTCAGCCTCAGTTCGCATCAACAACTAAGCGAACACTTCTGAACGTCTTTTTAAACTTGGAGCCAAGCTTTGTTGCGGTACGAATATGGTTGCAACTTTGTAGCTCAAATTTCGTTTAGCTTGAATCCGAGCGATTAAAAAAAAAAAAAAAACTATATATCTAAAGTAGATCTCCAGCTAGGGGTCTCTGGGCTGTACAAAAGTCTTATTGCGCAGTGAATTCATTTTTAGGCCGCACCTACCTGTAAATTGAATACTGAAAAAGCTTTTTCTATTTGGCTTTTCAGGGAGAAAACTTAAGCATACATATCGCGCCGTAACATCATGCAATGTTACGATACTTTCTTAAGAGAAGCAAAAAAAAAGAAAAATTAATTATTCCCATTCCTAAGAATATACACACTACTGTCAGATAAAACTTCTTCAGACTGCAGTGTAAATCTTTCAATATTACGGGTACTAAGGGTATGATATATAGTAAACTATCAGGTCATATTGAAACGTCTCCACCGTGGGTTCTTGCAGCCTACTCTTTTCAAATGATTGCAAACTGCAATGTGGTTGATGTTTAGGGAACTCAGCTATTTCCTAGCAGCTTGCGTCTCGCCCCACTAGTTGCAAAATTTCGCCGTCTGCTTCGACGATTGCGAGATGCATCGTTGACATCGAAATTTCTTGAACGCGGTTGCGCCAAACACTCCTGGGTTCTTCGTGCACTCATAGAATTCTCAACGTACACTTCACAAATTTTTCTACCTACGTATCACATAGTATTTCGTCAAATATTTCAGTCA